TGGGTGGCATACAAATTGAATGAATGAATGAATGAATGAATGAATGAATGAATGAATGAATTTGCTCTTAGCATTCTAATTCTAAGGATTGTGGTACTGTGATTGGGATCCCAAATGTGATATCCTGGATATTTTGCTGCAGAAGTAATTCAGATGAGATGGTGCAGGCACTCAGTCCACTACATTTTGCTTGCACAGTCAAGGTAGAGGTTAAAGACTGATCATACTAAATCAATAGCTATACGCATATATCTTATTTTCATATGTTTTTAACAGATGCATTATAGACGCTGTGAGCAAAATGCTTAATTGAATAATTGAACATTGGGTCCCATCAGCCTATGATTTAGAAGAGCCATAATTATTTATCTCCCAATTTTATTTATTATTATTTTTTAAAGAGATTTGGGAGACATTAAATGATAGAGGGAAATGCAGTGGCAGGGGAAGGGACACTGGGGAAGGAGTTGTAGCTTCCTGAATATGTATTGCTTCTTTGAAGCTTTTACGCTATCTGCAGGAAGAAGCAGATTCTCCTTCAAGTTAAACTTAAATCTTGTGACCCCGTGCACACATCCATGTGGTTTTCTTGGCAGCAATTTAGAAGCAGTTTGTTACTAGTTCTTCCAGGATGTTGTTGTTTTTAACTCCCTTAATGTAGCCTGCAACCCTGGAAATTCTTGATGGTTTCTCATCCAAGTAATAATCAGATCCAACCCTGTTTAGCTTTTTTCAGATCAGTCAAAGATAGTTAAATGCTGTCACCTGGTTAGATGCTGGAGGAAATACTATTCCTGTATTTGTGTCCATTACTTTCAGAGTGGCAATTTAAAAATAAATTCCTTTCTCCAGGGCCACTTCTGTAATCATATATGGTCTTCTGTTCCTTTGTTAGAAGAAAAGGCTTGTTAATTGTGTAGAATTTACGTTTTGGTCTGGAAGCCAGCAGTTACCTGGGATTGTCATATAACATTTTCCCAGGTGAATTCTACAGTCCTACAGGTACATAAATTTGTAATTTCCCATCCTGTCTGCAGGTGTATTATGGGTTTTGTGAATAAAGAGAAAGAACGGGCTTTGCTGAAAGACAAGAAGCCTGGGACCTTTTTGCTGAGGTTTAGTGAAAGCAATTTAGGAGGGATTACGTTTACCTGGGTATCCCAGTCTGAAAATGGTAAGTTCTGTATTTATGTCTCCTTAAACCCTTTGTAGACAGGTACAAAAGAAGTGTGCTCCTTTGATTTGACATGCTGAACTACTGATACTTGTTTCAGTTTGGCAGCATTTGTAGATCTGGCAGCATTAGATTTTATTTTCCATGTTCCACTTTGTCCTTTTTGTTTGTTTACAAAATCTGCAAAGCTATCCTTTTATTAATCTTATTATATTATATTAATCTTATAAATCTGTCCCCTTATTAACAACTATGTTGTCTTCACAGGGGAAGTGAAGTTTCACTCTGTTGAACCGTATAACAAAGGCCGCTTAACTGCCCTGCCATTTGCAGACATTTTACGAGATTACAAAGTTATTACGACAGATAACATTCCTGAAAACCCACTGCAGTATCTTTATCCCAATATCCCCAAAGACAAAGCTTTTGGGAAGCATTACAGCTCTCAGCCTAATGAAGGTCAGAAATTATTTTGGATGTCTTCCCAATTTCTAAGGTTTCTCCTGCCCCATTCTGAAATAAAAATATTGAAGATGTGAATGCCAAAGCTGAATACTTTTATATATTTTTAATGTAAAAAAAGTAATAGTTTTACAATATATCCTGCCGTTTTCATTGTTCCTAGCAGCACCAGGGACAGTTTGCAATCAAAACAGTTATAGATACAAGCATACCATCAAAAACTCTATAGCACATTTTCTCTTAGGAGAGGCAATTCAGCAAAGTGTAGAAGTCTACAAAATAGTTTTCAGTGGACAGAGACTCCAGAGAGATGCATCCCTCAGAAACACATTACTCAGACACACAGTTTGATTGATTTTGGTGTAGCATAAAATGTGAACCTAAGCACTGTAGTTGGTAAATTCATGATGTATGGCTTAGTGTTACTTGTGAATGAGGCCAGTATAGTTTCTTCAAAAAAAAATCATGAGTTAGTGTGATGTGTGGACCTAGCAGAAGAAATATCAACAAGGTGCTATAGATCTCTTAGGAAGAGGTTCTGTCTGGTTGATGTTACAGAGGAGTTCTTGTTCCATATTCTAAATAACCCATTTCTGATGTACCAGGTTCCAAAAAAGATCCCCTCTGGATGATCTAGTGGATAGATAGGCTTCTGAGGGCTGTAAGAGTATTAAAGAATAAAAATAATTGAAAATATAAAATATTTACTTATGTGTATAAGATAAGACCTATTTTGTCATGGCCTTACTCTCAAAATAGGATTGAAGCCTTAAACTCCAAAAATCCTATAACTATGTTATCAGTGTATAGAGAAAGCAATTTTTTTTAAAAAAAGGACAAATATTATATATACATTTATTAAACTGACTGTCCTCAGCCTCTTGGAAATGAAAAGTTGATTCAGAAGGTAGTAATTTTGAATGTAAGGGCAGCAGGAGAAAAGATGATGTTTTATCTTCCCCACCTTACAGAGGAAAGTAGCTTGGGTTTGGACATTTTTGAATAGAGAAATAAAGTGAGAAAAGATTGAAATAATCCTAGCCTTGCTTAATTGCATATTATATAGCCAACATTAATTTTTAGCTTTGCTATAACCTTTATTACTTGTAAATGGGAAAATTTGGGAGTGTGAAGGGGTGTGAAAAATCTTTTAACAAAATATGTGGAAAATAACAAATTATTGCTGAAGACTTGAATTCTGAAAATAGTGAAAAGAATTAAAAGACTGTGAAAATACCTTCTTCCAAAAAACCCTGAGGCTGATTCAGTGGCATCCTAATTCTGTGTCCACAGCCTTTGATTCTGAGATGGAAGCAGAGCCACCAGCTTGTACAGATATGAGTGCTAGGTAAAAACATTTCAGTGTAGGAGATCAAAAACAAAGCTCTTGGGGATATGTTTAGGCCCTCCTCATGAATAAGAATTCTTAAAAGATTTCTTTATAGCTGAATCTGGAGATGCATCTGAAAGCTTAAGCTTTGGCATATCTTCAGTTTTGCAAATCTCCTTTCTGGAGCACTGTCTGCTTTGCAGCTAGTCACACCTTGTTCTTCCAATATCCCTATTGCCTTGTACACTTTAGCCCTTACAGTTCCTTTGGGCCTTGTCCCTGGAACAAAGCTGAGACCAAGACTAGCCTCTAGCTCCTACTTCTGATTCATGAATCAGCCTGAAGTAAAATATAGAAAGCAGCTTTTACAGAACAATCCATCAGTCCTGTAATCCAGAATTGCCAAATTTTGACTGGTAGTGATTTTCTGCAGACCTAGGTCAAGGTCTTTTATGCTATTTCTGATACCTACACTTTTCAACTAGAAATACTATGGATTAAATTTAAGGCTCCCTGCATTCAAAACAGTTTCTGCCTATGAACTTTGGTCCCTCCCCAGCTTCCTTCACTTGCAGTAATCAGTAAAAAAACAAATTAACTGAGCTAAATGTGTGAAGTGACATTTCCTACATACCCAAAACCTCCTACACTTCTTGGCCTTGATCCAGATTTAATGTGCATAATATTTTATATTTAGTGCCAAGACCTACAGAAGGAGGAACCAAAGGTTATGTCCCCTCTGTCTTTATTCCAGTCTCCAAAATGTGAGTAATCATTTTACAGTACTTCTTTCAGTTCTTGTTTCCTGAAGTACTTAATGTAGGAAATCTGGCAAACTCTACTGTGGGATGTTGTTCTTTAACTGAGATGTTAAAACTCACTGACAAACCCAGACTCTCTGTTTTGAAATTTTTTTAAAAAAATAATTTGGGTGTTTGAGAGCAAGGGAATGATGGTATGAACAGATTTTGGAAAGACACCACAGACATGGGAGAACATGGGAGAACAATTATGACTACTACTTCCTCTTCTTGAATAAGGTGTTACAAATTTTATCATGTTTCACTCACTAAACATAATTGTCTTGTTTTGTTTTAAGACTGAATAATTCCACAGATCCACCTTCTCCATCGGATCTTCTTCCCATGTCACCAAGTGTTTATGCTGTTTTGAGAGAACACTTAAGCCCAACTGTAATGGAAACTGCTGTATGTTGCAGGTTTTACTTTTATTTTACTTACAAGCAGGTGCTGAAAAAATGAATGTTTGATTCATGAGAAATAACAAGCTACTTGAATTATCAGCACTTATCGTTATCACTGTTTGATAAAAGAGTGCTGATTTGCTACAGGCTGTTATTTCTTTAGTTAGCTCCTTAATACATTGCTAAGCCTTTTGCTGCTGGGAATATCTTTCTTGGAGGAATGATAACAATTTGAATACACAGAATTGTTTGACATTCATAATTGTCATCAGACTTAAAAGAGTCAGCCTGTGAAGGTGAAAATCATCTTACAAACAAGTAAATCCAACTGAAAGTGGAAATACAGCAGAAATATAATGTAAGTGGAAATATACCATATTTGCAAAAGCAGAGGCCCAGGCTACATCACAATAAATTTGGGCTGTCACAACTCAAATAGCAATTTGGGAACAAGACCAATTTAAGGAGGTTGGCAGTTCAGTACAACATCAGTCATTGAAGCTTTCCCCAAATACTAACAGCACTAGATTAATATTCCAGGTAGATTCCTGCAAAATGAAATGCTATTCAAAAGCTCAGAACCTGAGCTAAAAATAAAGACGTTATCTAGATAAAATCTATTGGTTAAAAATTGGAATATTACTATTATTATTTTTAAAAAGCCAACTAATTCCTCAGAGAGAGACTCTTTGACAGAAGTGCTTTAATTTTTGAAATGCATTTTCCTTATTTTTTATCCTGCAGATATCTCTGTTAGTTTATTAGTGGTTCAAAATATAAACAATATCATTTGAAATTTTTGCCAGAACTTGACTCCTTGTAGAGCTCAAATAGTTTTTCATTACTTTCAGTTTCCCTTTCCTGAAGCTAATGGAATAGGCATGCACAAAATAATTCTGAATGTGATGATAGCAATTTGAAATGTATATGAAAGTTGTTTATTCAAAACATATTTCAGCACAAACGTTTAGCTATTTACCTCTTCAGGCAATCTGACTGAGCTACATTTTATATGCTCATCTGTTCCATCTATATCTGAAATATCTCTATTTGTATTTGTAAATTCTTTTATAAGCCCTCTGCAGCCTTCTTTAATTTATGCTTACCTAAGTTCTATAACTGCAGCCAAAAGTATTGGTACCACTCCACTTTTTCACAAAGAATCCCAATTTGCCATGAAATAAATTGAAACTGACATAAATAAATGGCATCCACCATTCTTTATTCTGTAGTCCATAGAGCAGACACTTTGCTTTTGATGTATGACTTAACATATTCTTGTAAGTACAGGTAGTCTTTGGGTTACAACCACTTGTTCAGCTACTATTCAAAGTTACAACAGGGTTGAATGAGGGGGACTTATGACTGGTTCTCAAAGTTGTGGCCATTGCAGTGTCCCTGTGGTCATGATTTGGATGCTTGGAAACCAGCTCACAATTACAATAATTGCAGCATGCTGCAGTCACGTGATTGCCATTTGCAACCTTCCCTGCCAGCTTTCCTCAAGCAAAGCCAAAGGATAAGTCAGCAGGAAGTCACAAGCCACTTCTGCTCCTGCCGCTTTTTCCCCCGAGGAGCTCCTGCCCACGGCAGTTGCCTGCCGTCTGTAGTGCCTGCCCGTGGCAACCACCGGCCCATCTGCACTCCGTAGCAGCCACTTACCCATATGCTGGGCTGCGTGTCTGGGACTCCTGCCTCTTCCCACGTTGTGGTCATGTGAGGTCCTTGCTTGATGACCCATGTGGTCCTCAGGGTATGACAGCAACCGGGACTGCTATCATTAAGCGATGCAGTCACGTGACATCGCACTTTATGAGCTCATTGCTTAGTGATTGAAATTCCAGTCCCAATTGCTGTCATAACCCAAGGTCTACCTAATAAAACAGATGAAAATGGCAGAGACATAATTATTGGTACCCCTAAACTAATATTTCATAGCATACCATTTTGAGGCAATAACTGCAATCAAGTACTTTCTGTAACTCTGAATAAGATTTCTACACTTCTCAACTGGCAATTTGTCCCACTCTTCTTGAACAAACTGCTCTGATTGTCTTAGGTTCCTTCTCCGAACTGTGAGTTTCAGCATCTTCCACAGATGTTCTCTTGGATTCAGAACTCACAGCAGGCCACTTCAGAACTGCCCAATGTTTGCTTTTCAACCATTCTTGGGTTTTCCTAGATGTATAGCTTGAATCATTATCCTGCCTGAGGACCTATGACCTGTGATTCAGACACAGCTTTCTAACACTGGGCATTATGTTTCACTCCAGAATGCCTTGATAATCTTCTGGTTTTCTTGTGCCCTGCTCAGATTCAAGGCACCCAGTGTTGGAGGCAGCAGAGCAGCCCTATAACATTAGGGAGCCTCCTTCATGTTTCACAGTAAGAATGGTGTTCTTTTCTTTATAAGCATTGCTTTTCCTTCTGTGAACATAAAGCTGCTGTGACTTACCCCAAAGCTCTAATTTTGTTTCATCTGTCCAAAGGACATTCTCCCAGAAGGACCATGGCTTGTCAACATACGTTTGAGCTAACTCCAGTCTGGCTTTTTTGTGTCTGGCTTTCAGAAGTGGGGTCTTCCTGGATCTTCTACCACAGAGGCCACTTTCAGTCAGACAGCGACGGATGGCACAATTTGATATTGCTGTACCTTGATCTTGGAGGTCAGCCAGGATACATTCTGAAGTTTTCTTTGGTTCTCTCTCCCACCATTCACACTGTCCTTCTGTTCAAACTGGGGTCGATTTTCCTCTTGCAGCCACATTCAGGGAGGCTGGCTACAATCCCATGCACCTTAAACTTGTTGATAATATTAGCAGCCATGGTCATAGGAACATGAAGCTCTTTGGAGATGGTCTTGTACCCTTTCCCTTTACCATGCTTGGCTATTATCTTTTTCCCTTCCTCCTCAGACAACTCTCTGCTTTCTTTCTCGTCCATGTTCACTGTGCTGTACACAACAGCACAAAATGCCTCAGTGAGTACTACTCTTCATTCAAATAGGTTGAGTGACTGATATGAGACTGAAGATAGCCGTGATACTAATTAAAGTAACAGCCTGCTTGAGAGATCACTAAAATCCAATGTCTTTTAACTTCTAAGGGGTACCAATAGTTATATCTATGCCATTTTCATTTGTTTTATTGTTTACAAGAATATGTTGAATCATATTAGCATTTTAATTATTTCCAAGAGCTATGGTTCATGTTGCATTTAAGAAAAATATCTATTAATTCCAACAAATTTATATTTTGTTCTCTTGTAGTTGAATTCTCCGTATGCAGCTGACTGACATTCAGATACTGAAGATTTTTAAATGCAGATAAACAAGTTTGTGTGTATGAATGTGTGTTTCTAAGAGAATGTTCTTAATTCCCTTGTATTGTAAATATATTTTTCCAGGAGATATACAGAGTTCTGTATGTTGGCTGCAACTCTTTAAATCAGTTGCTTAAACAAATATTTGATCTGATTCAGATAATGGTTTGACATGGCTAGAATGAACTGTGACCTCTTATACTTTTCAAACTTTGATTGATATAATTAGGCTGAGTTCGCACATCACTCAAACCTTAATGTTACTAATTTAATCTGGTTTATCATGTGTATATGTTGATATAATTGTATAAACCATGATTTGTGGTCAATTTTGTTCAATGGACCTATCCACTTGTGGCTTATTCAATGAATCAGTTAAGCTATTTTTGGTTTCCAGAGTTTAGACATTATAGAAATTGATTTATTCAAAATTGAAGATAAAAGCATTATTTCATGTTTAAAGGATAGGAAGTGAGATGCACAAGTTTGAGGTTTATTGTGATTTGTTAACTGCAGGATGAAATAACCTTAACGCAATATTTACATCAATTATTCTGTACAGATACGAGATAATGGAAAACAATGCTCAGATTTCTGCTGTAGTTCTGCTGCTCCTTTCCCTTAAAACTGTTAAAAGTCCTATATTTCAATGTTTGTTATTTTTTTAAATATTTACCAAATATTCACCGTAATAGTTTAGGTCAGACGCTTAGTCCAATCCACATACATCAATAAAGTTATGCTTTTTTAATATATCCTAATTTTTGTGATAGTTCAATGTGCTTATACACCAAATTGTGCACATGTGAGAATGTTTAACAGTATCCTGTAGAAATACAGCATCAGTGTGATTGAAAGTGAAACGCGTAAAAAAATATATTGTGGACTTTTATTTAAAGCCAGTTTACTGTAAAAACAAAATGTAATTGACAGACAGCTGAAATCCAGAGCAGCCCCTGGATTGTCTAGTTCCCTCAAAATGTGATGCTCCAAATCAGGGAATAAAATGCTTTCCAGTATTTTAAATACATATAGCATGCTACATAATTATTTTATATTTTTCCAATGTTGTTGCACAAGACTCTGATTTTATATAAACATTTTCTAACTTTAGAAAATTTATTTGCTTGCTTGTTTCCTTATTTATAGTGTTTATAGGTCTCTCCAGTCCACCAATTCTTACAATTCCCCAATACGTAATTGGGATTAAAACCATACAGTCAATGTGAAAAATTGCAATCACATAATGCTTCTATAGAACCAGGAATCATGATTAAAAGCATTAACAATAATAAAAAGAGACCCACTCTCCTGACCAAGAGGCAATTATAACAAACCAATCTCCCTGATTTGATGGAACAATCCAGTTTTCACCAGTTATTTTAAAACCAGGAGGAAGAGGCCAATTGCACAATGGGGGGAATGCTGTTCCAGAGGATGGCGGGGAGGGGGTGGCAACTGTGTAGGCACATTCACATGGCCCTAAAGGTACCAATCTCTAATTGAGGAGACATGTGGTGACCCCACCCATTGGATCTAATTGGGCAGGCAGGTGTTACAGAGAATAGGCAATCCTACAAATACCCAGGTTCCAAGCCATGAAGGTCTTTAAAGATGACAACCAGCAACTTGAATTGCACCCAGAAGCTAAGTAGCAACTAGTATAGCTCTTGGAGCAGAGGCATTACATAGGTGCTTTAAGGTGCACTCATCATTATACAAGCTGCTGCATTCTCATCCAGCTGTAGCTTCCAAATGTTCTCTGAGAGCAGCCCCATGTAGAACATGCTGAAATAGTCCAATGGAGAGGTCACTAGGCATGAGTGACACTGAGTAATGCCTGCCATTCCTGGAAAGTTTGCAATTGGTGCACAAGATGGAGCAGTACAAAGGCCCTGTTGGCTACAGCTGCCATCTGTTTCTCAAGCAGGAGCTGTGAGTCTAAGAGAGTCTCCAAATTGCAAATTGATTCTGTCTGTGGGAGTGTAACCCACTTGGGGGTCAATAATGGAACCTCACTGGAAACAGTAGGCCCTCAAATCCAAAGCTACTCTGCCTTGGAGGGATTGAATCTCAACTTGCTCTTCCTCATCCAGACTCAGATAGCCTTCAGGCACCTGGGTAATACTTTGAAAATATCACTTACTCAGCCAAGGGTCAAGATGTACAGTTGGGTATCAGCACTCTACTGATGAAACCTGTCCCCATGCTGTTGGATGATTTTGTCTAGCATTTTCATGTAGATGTTGAAGAGAAGTGGGGAGGGAGCCATGCCCTGTGGCACTCCCATTATGGGGCCTAGAAGACAATCTGTCTCCCCCATGACTGTCCTTTCAGGAAGAAAGACAACCACTATGATACAGTACTACCTCCATCCCCAAGCCCTCAGAGATGGTTCAGATAAATATCATGGTCCATGGTACTGAAAGCCATTGAGAAGTCAAACAGGAAGAAGACAATAATTATCTAGTATATCTGAGTAAAGCTACTTCTACTGCATCTCCTTCTCAGTTTTTGTCATATGAAACACTGATGACAATCAGACTTTGTATTTAAGGCCCACATATTGTATTCTAAAAAGGCCAGAATCATATGTTCCAAGCAGTACAAGAGGCCACTGACATCTGAATTCCACACAGGGGATTTCCTGATCAGGATGTTCAGTTTAGTGCAGTTCTGTATTAACATTTATGACTTCCCTACAAAAGCAGCAGCAACAATAAAGCTGTTTGTCTTTTTCACATGATTGTGACTTTATGAAAATGCCTAAAGGTTACGGCTGTGAAGATTCAAGTTCACAGTTCCCATCTATCACAGTTTCCGCTGTCACTTTTGCTATACCTTACCTTACAGGACTATACCTAACCTTACAAGCGAGTGGAAGTCAGTGGATTTTATCACAGCAGTGGCAAAATTTAGATGATGATTCTCATGGCAGAGGGCTTGCAGAGTGGTATAGACGATACGGTTGCTGAAGCTGATTTATTATGATTTTAAAATAGGGCTGAAGCTAGTTTAAAGCATGCTGCAGTAAGCCAGCATCTGACATTTCAGGCAGGGAGAAAAAGGATCGGCAATAGCTTTTCTTTAGCATCAATTCACAAAAATCCATTTTATTTGCACTTTGCCTCCTGGAAAATTTTGAGATGAACTATACCAAATGTTACAATACAAATACAGCAATGTATTGTTTTGGTTCTAAACTTTATTATAAAAACAGTAAGGTAAGGTATAGCAAAACTGACAGCGCTCTCAGACCTCATTGTACAAGACAACTATTGATGGTAGAAATAAAAATGTCCTCCTCTGACCTGATACCTGCAAAATTTTAAATGTTGAGAAAGGCAAAGTTGGCTGAGTTTAGCATGACCATTTTGTTTCAGGTGCGTCAGATTCTTCTGCTTTCCCATTTTTTAATTCTTACTGTAAACGCTTTTGTGCTTCCTGAAAATCCCTTCTCCCTTTTGCTATGATCAGCCAGATGGGAGGAGCCCTTCATAGAAGTCATCTGGACCAACTGCCTATAAGAAGCAGCAGTTTGCAAGAAAGTGGTCTCCCTTGCTTTTGTGGTCAAGGTCATCACCACCAAAGCAATCCCCACTTTCAGATGTTCCCATAAAGGCTGTCTTCACAAGCTGTGATGACAAAGAAAAGTATTTGAAATATTTTGAAACATGCCACTGACTTGTTTCTAGAAATATTTGTCAGGTACGTTCAGAGAACTGAGGCAGCACAATGGGTAATAATGAAAGCGGTAAACTAGGAAAGTCCCAAATGCAAATTGCTTCTGAGCCATACATTTAACCTTTTATGTCAGGTAAGCCATTTTCTCTAAGGTCAGGTGGGGGGGGCAGAGCTGCTTGCATTAGCGGGCCTTCTCCCCATTAGACCGTCAAGGGTGAGCCCCAGCTTTCTCCTACTGCACCTTCCAACAGAGAACTTCTGCTCCAAGCAGCAACTACCGCAGCAGAAATGGGAGTGCTTCACTCTGTTGTTTTGTATGGCTATGCTTTATGCTCTTTGGAGAATTCCTGGTTCACCTCACCCCTCAGCTCCCACTATTCCAATGCAATGGTTGAATAGCAGAATTGGTCAGGGGGGGCCCATATGTAAACCTGCAAGGAGTTTGGTGGTCTCCACCAGACAGGCCAGAAATAGCAGCAGTGCTTTGTTTTCTATAGAGGAGGAAGGAGTCCCCCCTCCCCCAGTGTGAAATTGAGGGGGTAGGTTGAGCTAACAGATAAGCACTGACTAAGTGGGACATATCTCTGCTCCTCTTTTAGCCAGGAAGGCATGTGCGGACCTCTGAGCACTGTGGCATCCTGGCATCTCTCCTTGACCTAGAAAGAGCTAACACAGCCCAGTCAATCCCTGTTTTAATTGTGAAAATGTAATTGAAGTGTTGGGTACAGAAAAGTTGGCCATCTGATGTGCCCTTAGCTTCAACCCTCCATCATATAGTATGACAGCCTTGGACTGACATAGCTATCTCCTCCCAGCCAGTAGGGCCAGTGGTCATGCTGACTGGGAATTATGAGAACTGTAATCCAACACATCTGGAAGGGCTGGTTGGAGAAAACTACACTGCAAAGACATACCATAGGGAGGACATGACACTCCATTTCCCTTTACTGTGAGTTAAGATCGGCAAATGGAACCTGCTTGAGTTCCTCAGGAGACAGTAAGGAAAGAATGCAAATAGCTAGAAATGAAATGTTTGGAGTTTAGGCATTCTGCAGAACTCTTCCCATTCCCAGAGGCACTCTCTTATGGCATTTGGGATAACAAAGAGACATACATTTCTTACCAGGAGTTTTGAGTTTCACATCTGTAACCTGGGAACTCTCTTGAAGACTTAGTGCACCACATGCTTGGCATTATTATATGGGTATTTTCTAATGCCTCCATGTTTGTTATAGTGAGTCCTTTATTGTATTCACTTGAACAAGGAGATGGCAATAAAGCAGGGTAAAAGTGTATGCATACATAAATGCTGACCTACCTGTAGGGATGACTAACACTATATATATATTTATGTATGTATGTATGTATACACACACACACACACACACACACACATATATATATATATATATCACATATATACATACATACATGCTCAGAGTTGGTTCTGATCAAGGGACAGATCTAAAACTTTGGCCTTGGACATCCTTCAGATCTGCTGCTGACATGGAAACTTACCACCTGATCGAGCACCAAAAGGAAGCTGTTAAGTTACATACAACATCCCTTTAAAGCCCAGCATTCATGGAGAAGTTTAGTTTTGTTTTAAATCACTTACAGTACTGGTAACAGGCATACCACTAGAGCAAATACAAAGTACACATTCTGCACTCCTGAACAAATAACAGATGATTTGGGGAGCATATGGCGCTGATATTTAAGAGTGCAGAACTCTTAGATGTCCAAATTGGTGAGCAAAAAGCGTTCACACGCTCAGGCGATCGCGTTTCTTACCCGTTACTGTATTTCCTATATGCTGAAGGGGGAACCCTATACAAAGAAGTTGGAGCTCAACCCTTGTCAACCCTGATCCCACCGCTTGTGGTCAAGCAGATAAAGCAGATGAAAATGCAGCTTAATCTCTTTTACCAGTTTTCCGTGGACTTCCTGATTTGCCGGGTCTTAAGCGCCCACGTTGGGAGGAGAGTTTTGGGAAAGACTGGAAACATCTGCAAAATAAAAAATAAAATATTTTAATCTGCCAGAGGGGAAAAAAAACACCAACCAACCCCCCTCCCTTCCCTCCAGATCGTGTTTAGCTTTCGCTTTCGTTGCCTCAGACGCTTTCCGAGACCAGGCGCCGTTTCCGAGAAAACACGTGGGCCGGGCTGTTCCAGGAGCAGCTCTCCCCTCCCGCCAGCGCGGAGGTTGGGAAATGTGGTTTTCTGGTGTTGACCCCGCCGCGGCGTTACAAAAGCCTCAGGAAGCCCGGATCTGGATCCATCTCTGTTTGGTCCTTCCCGGTCCGGGCGAGGAATAAAAGATAAAAAAGAAAAGATAAACGGGGAAATGTTTATCTTGGCATAAATATATCTGTTTGGGGAAGGAGGGAAAACAAAGTGGCCTGGAAATTTGGTGCAAAACTTCCCGGCCCGGCCATATTTTGCTTCTTTTCAGAGAAAGGGAAGAAAGAAGAGGAGGGAAGGAAAACTGGATTGACAGGCTGGTCTATAAAACGGACCGGGGGTCTGAGGACCAGGTCGCAGTAGATGCCAACCTCCCTCCAGCAGGCAAGGAGGAGAGCAACCTTCCATCAGCCTGGCGATGGGAGTTGTAGTCCAAGGCACCAGGCTGGCATAGATGACATAGGCACAGTCCTTGGACCGGTCTAGGCGAAAGCAAATGACACAAAGAGAGCTTACACGGATCATTTTCATCTTGTGTTTCTGCCCTTAATTAGACACAGAGTTCTAGCTTGATTCTATGCACATTTGCTATGAGGGCGTGGGAAAACGTAAACCACTTGCTGGTCAAAGTGTGAATTAAGAGAAATGTTTCTGCAACAGGTTTGGTTTGGATTTGGTGTGGCAGATTTGGTGTGGCAGATTTGGGTTTGTTAAATAAACCACAGGGTAGCATTGACTGTTCACAGCTGAAGATGTTTTTTTCTGGCAGCAACTTTCTGCCTGTGACCTAAATGACAGTCTTTCCATCAACTCTTGAACCACAATCAGGTTGAAAATTGCCTATTATATGGATGGATCCTCCAAAGGCTGAGGCTAAGGTGGATAAGCAGGTTCAGTTGAACTCTTTTTTGAAAAAAAGACTTCCAAGCAAGCATCACGCATACAGCTATCCTGCCCCAAGTCCCAAGTTGGAAAAGAAGCTTCGCTCAGTTCAGAATTGAAACTAAGCATTTTCAGGACGATAATGATCATTTAGAGGCACCGATGTGTTGAGTAGGATCTTATACAGCGGCACTCATTTGGGAAGACTGCCTGCCACTGCAAATATTTCAAATAATATTACAATCCGAGTTCATGCCTGCCTGCCTGCCTGCCTGCTTGGAATTCTCATCTGACATCTGCGCCTGCTTCCTGCGCGCATCCTAAACTAAATAGCCGTGAAGTCAGTCGTAGAAGGTAATGTCACAGAATTCCACGGGGATTAACTCCCAGCTAATCGGGCGTAATGGTGCAGGCCGAATAGCTTTTCAAATCGAATTAGAAGGAACCGTTGCTAATCAAACGGAAACATTCGTTCCCCTCGAACGTCACGCTCCACGGGGTTCTTTCGCCCCCCCTCCGGCCTATTAAGAAGAAGAGGGAGGAGGACGCCTCCTCGTAACAGCCACACAGCCTTCAGAGCGGATGCTCCTGATTGGCCATTCCCTCAGGCTAGGTTCTCGCGGATTGGTGGTCCTCCTGTCTTGCTCTGCTACTTCCCTCGTAGAGGTACTTTCGTTTTAACAGAACGCGGGGAGGTCGGGGACGCTTCTGGATCTCCGTTATGTTTGAAGGTTCTGGAAGCGCGAGGTAGGTCTGCATGAAGTCGGGGCTCTCAAGTAGCATTTGCACGGGAGACCTTTCCATGCCACCTCCCAAGATCTTCACGGGTTGCACCTAAGAACTGGGGTCTCAAGACGTCATCCCGGCGTTTGTCGCCACGTAATTGTTTCCGTTTCTGCTAGGGTGGCTAAAGGTAGGGCAGTGGTGCAAGCGGGTGAGCAATAGTTGGCGCTCAGCAAATGTTTGCACTTGATTTTAAGAGTGGAATAGCCTGTGCTTTAATACTGGCTGCGGAGGGACCCCCCTCCTTCTCCACGCCCGCGTTGAGACGCCTCCCCGCCAAACGGGACAGAAGGATCTCGCTTTACCTTTTGTCCACCCGTGTTTTTCGCTCACCTGCCTGAAACACTGGGTCACTCCTGGTGAACTGCTAAAGGCCGGGCTTAGGTGAGACATTTTCACCAGACTCTACTGCAGTTGAACTTTGCACATTATTTTTGAATGTGGCATTTTGAAAAATGGTTTTGAGAATAATTTGGGAGAAAGCCTTGTAACATTAGGAGCTTTCTACGAATTACTAGAGGTAATCTAATTTATAAATTTATAAAATACTAGAGGGAATCTAAAACCTGGTATTTGACTGCCACCTCGTTCTATCATTATGAAGATTTCACTTAATGGCTGTTGGACCGACTGGTTCCCCTTTTCTTTTGTAGCCATAATGATGGCTTACATCTCCTTAGAGTAGGTACGTTTCTTGGTTATTGGAGGAAAAAACAGTACTTGAAGCTTGACAGACAGATCATTGTAGTTTACACTGACATCTCTATCTATAGTTCCTGAATAAATTGGTTCTCATGACAGAGACTAAAGTCACGAGTGGCTTCCATTACAGGAACAAGCCTTATCTGTATGTAAGTAACAATGCATGTCATTGTTTGATTGTGTAGTATATTAAACTAAAATTAATACGGTTTGTTTGCATCGGTTTTGGGAAACTAGCCTTCTTGAGCCTCTTTCTCTGGTACTGATGTATCAAAGCAGATGGTTTTTACATTTGATCAGCTACAGTTTATATAAACTCTGAATAAATAATAGTCTGTATTCATGGGCTGCACCAGAAGACACATATAAACCTGAAAGTCACATGGGCAGGTTTATCATTCATTTATTCTATGTACTTTTATACCACTGAATCAATAAAGACTCGTAGCAGCTTACAATCATGTTCTTGTAACTTTGAATTCGGCACATCTTTATCTCATGTTGAGGGCTGCACTCGGCCTCAGAGTAATTTAAATTGATTAGATTTTTAATATAATGATTTTTCCTGTATATAATAGTTTTCTTCTCTTACGTTAATAAGAACCATTAGTAGCTATTTTTAGAGGTAGTTTGCTACCTGAGTCCTCAACTTGTACACCCCTGCTTTGAATAATGGATTAGCCTTATTTCCAAATAAGCCAATTCTGGAAATAAATTCTGGCTAGTGGTAACTTCTGCTGACCCATTTAGACATCAGTGGTTAGCATCATTAATTAAAGAGAAAGGAGATTTGTGTGTTCGTGTGGTGTAGAACTATGTAAGCAGGAAGGGGGGAAATGTGCTCTCAGATAATGCAATTTCTTAACTAATTGGAAATTTTACTGATTGCATAGAAGAATAAATGACATACATTTAATTACATATTTGGGCACTTTGATTCCACAGGATGAGTCAGTGGTGTAAACTGCAACAGCTGGATTCTAAATTCTTGGAACATGTGCATCAGCTCTACGATGATAGCTTTCCTATGGAGATCAGGCAATACTTGGCCCCGTGGCTGGAAAGCCAAGACTGGTGAGAGTCTTGATTTTTGTGAGATGTCCAAAAATGAAGCTGTGATTCTAAGCAGGGATAGGATCCAGTCAGCAAGCACGAGAAGTTAAATTACTTCCCTCAAAACGAATGGAACTTTGGCTAGACTGTGTTTGCTTAGGAAGTAAGTTCCATTGGAATATACACTGTTTCACACTGCATTACATATCCTTAAGCCATTTAAGCCAAAACATTTATTTACTTATTTATTTATTCAATTTATATAGCCGCCCATCTCAGACCACTGACTCTGGACAGCTGACAATAATAAAAACAATTAATACAGAAAATTAAATATAAATACAGCCAAGAGATCTTAAAAAACCGTCGGTTCAGCACAGCCATGAAACGGGCCCTTCGCACACTTGGGGCCCCAGGCCTGGGTATAAAATCAGGTCTTCAAGGCCTTCCGAAAAGCCAAAAGGGTCAGGGCCATCCTAATCTCAGGAGGGAGGATGTTCCAGAGGGCAGGCGCAATAGCAGAAAAGGCATGCCTCCTGGTCCCCGCCAGCCGACATTCCTTGGCTGACAGGAACTGGAGCATGCTCATCCTGCTGGGTCAGATTGGACAGGTAGAAACAACTGGGAAAAGACGGTCCCTAAGGTAACCCAGTCCCAAGCCATGAAGGGCTTAAAAGGTGACAACCAGCACCTTGAATTAAACCCAGAAACACACTAGCAACCAATGCAGCTCCTGAAGCAGTGGTGTTACATGTGCCAAATAGCTGACACTATTTACAACCTGGGTAGCTGCATTCTGTACCAGCTGAAGCTTCCGAATGCTCTTTAAAGGCAGCCCCATGTAGAATGTGTTGCAATAGTCCAAACAGGAGGTCACGAAGACATGAGTGACAGTGAGTAGAGCCTCCCAGTTCAGGAATGGGCACAACTGGCGCACAACCCGAAGGTGTGCAAAGGCCTTCTTAGCCATGGCTGCCACCTGCTCTTCCAGCAGGAGCCATGAGTCCAAGAGGACCCCCAGATTGTGCACCAGGTCTGTCTGGGGCAGTGCCACCCCATCCAAAACCAAAGATGGGAAAACCTCGGTACTGGATTTTTCACCCAAAGCCACTTAGTCTTGCTTGAGGAGCTGGAGCCCATTGTGCCCCATCCAGGCCGCTACAGCCTCCAGGCACTGAGATAGGACATCCATGACATCACTCAGACAGCCCGGGGAGGAGATATAAAGCTGGGTATCATCAGCATACTCACCCCAAACTGTTGGATCATCTCACCCAGTGCAGTCATGTAGATGTTAAATAAGAGGAGCAAGAGAACCGAGCTCTGTGGCACCCCACACAGTAGGGGCCATGGACTGGACCTCTCCCCTCCTACCAACACTGACTCGAGCTGACCCCAGAGGAAGGAGGAGAACCAGTGCAACACAGTGCTGCCCACCCCCAATTCCCAAAGCTGGTCCAGAAGGATACCATGATCAGTGGTATCAAAGGCTGACAAGAGGTCAAGAGCAAGGATGGAAGCACTGCCCCCATCCTGCTCCCACCAGAGGTCATCCAAGGGCACGATCAATGCCATCTCAGTCCCATATCCCGGTCTGAATCCTGACTGAAAGGGGTCCAGATAATCTGCTTCATCCAGAGCCCTTTGAAGCTGCTGCGTGACCACTTTCTGAACAATCTTTCCTAAAAAGGGGAGGTTGGAGACTGGATGAAAACTATCCAATTCGTTGGGTCAAGCGATGGCCCCTTGAGGAGGGGGTGCACCATTGCCTCCTCAAGAGCCAACAGGACCACCCCTCTGTTAAAGAGGAATTCACCACCACCCAGATCCAATTACGTGCCCTCTCCTGGGCAGCCTTGACCAGCCAGGAGGGGCACGGATCTAACACAGAAGTGGCTGAACTAACAGCTACAAGAACCCTGTCCACTTCCTCAGGTTCCTTGAGGTTGAACTCCCAGATAACCATGCAAGACTCAGCCCCCGTAGCCCCCACTGGCCTTGTATCAAGGCTGGAATTCAACGCAGAGTGGATGTGAGTGACTTGATCTGCCAGATGCTCAGCATATTCCTCACAATGGCCCTGAAGGTAGACCCCTGAATTACTCCCTCCAAGGAGGGTCCAGGACATCCAAAACAGGCCGCTGGGCGGCTATCTGCAGATGCAATAAGGGCAGAGAAATAATTATGTTTTGCCGCTCTTGCTGCCACAAGGTAGGCTCTAATCGCAACTCTAGCTCATGTTCGATCATCTTTGTTCCCCGTCTTCTGCCAGCGGCGCTCTAGGCATCTCTTAGCCCTCTTAAGCTTCCTCAGCTCTTCTGTATATCATGGGGAGCTATAGGAGCCAGGGCACAGAGAGGCCACTTAGGCACGATCCAATCCAAAGCCATGGCTGCTCTCTCGTTCAATGCGGCCACCAAGGCTTCGGTTGGACTGTGCAGCTGACTTCCTGGAAAAACCCCAAGCTCCCTCTGAAACCTAGTTGGGTCCATCAGTTGCCTGGGGCAGGCCAATCTAATAGGCCCCACCCCACTGTGGAGGAGGGTGGCGCCAGAGAACTGGAGGCTCACCAGGAAGTGATCTGATCATGATGGGAGAAACCAATACGTCCCCCAATTTCAGAACACTCTGCCACTGCTCCAACAGAAAAACAAGGTCAAGCGAATGACCACTATTATGCATCGGGTCCTGGATGACTTGGGACAGGCCCATGGCTGTCATGGTGGCCATGAACTCCCAGGCTACCTCCAACCCTGCTCCCAAGGAAGGCAGTTTGAAATCCCCCAGGACCATAAGCCTGGGGAACTCCACCGCCAACCCAGCTACAGAGTCAAGGAGCTCAGGGAAGTTGCTATGCAGTAGAGAGGCTGGTACAAACAGTCCCAACTGATCCCTCTTAGAGCCCAACTTAACAAATAGGGTCTTGCACCCAGCAATCTGAGGAGCAGCGCCCCTGAATGCCTCGCAAGTGTCTCAGATGACCACCGCCATCCCACCGCCCCTACCCTGGGGTCTTGGCTGGTGCCACACCCAGAAACCATTGTTAGTAAAGAAATTGGAAGCTACATCCATGATCTCATAACAGCACATAACAAACATAATTCTGAATTGTGTGTGTGAGGAGGAAGGTACTCAGCATAAGCAGCTAGTATAAATCAGCATTTTTTGTCACTTACGAACTCTGTTAATGTGCAGACCAGTATGTTTAAAATAAATCGTATTCAGTATATAAAAACTGCAATTCCACCTTAACCCTTGAGCTCTTTTGTGGCTTGTCCAGTACATTAGGATTTGTCTTTGAGTTACAGTTTGCACATGTAATTCCTACTCTTATGTATAACCCCAAATTCATGTCTTAACAATGTGTAAGAACATAGCCATGATAATAGCAAAGAGGTACATGTAACTGAATTGGAAATACTCCCTTTGCCCATCATAATGCCTGGTGTTACTCCATTGGTGCTCACCAAGCTGGGTCTGTTATTGGCACAGCCCATGTTCATGTGTATTTGCTATGGTTTCCCCTGCCAGATGTAGGGTACTTTAGGGACTATTAGTAAGTCGGGTGGATTTATGCTGCTTACTTAAGCAGAGGAGCAGAGAAAAATAAACTGGGTTTTGCAAGTGTGTTGGGGTGGGTTTGTGCAACATAAATAGGGGAGTGGAAATGGAAGGTACACTAACAGAGATGTTTGCATGCTTCCTCTTCTAGGGACCATGCTGCCAGCGATGTTTCGTTGGCTACCTTGCTCTTCCAGAATCTCCTGTCCCAGCTAGATGATCAATATAGCCGCTTTACCCAGGAGAACAATTTTTTATTGCAGCACAACATCAGGAAGAGTAAACGAAACCTGCATGTCAGTATACAAGAGCATTTTCTCATTTGTCTTTGGGAAAACATCTTAAACCCTTACAATAATTCTGCTTGATATTGTATGGATTATTCCTGTAGTATTACTAATGAAAGGAACCATTTTTTTGAACTTCTGTTGTGCCATCCTAAGCAGAATATAAGGATGAGCCACTGAATGGGGCTTCTCTCTTTTCTTTCCTTCTCTGCCAATTACTACTTGCGCTCATTTCATCTCCACCCAGTTCTCCTAATTTTCATTCCCGTTGTAGCTACTACATCTTCTCCTCTACCAGTTTTTGCTGGAAGAAGAAAGGGAATGTGTGTGTCCATGCAGTTGTAAGCTTCTGAGTCTTCAGTGTTTTATCCTTTTTGTTGATTTTTGTCTGGGGCCTTCTTTTGAAGTGTAGTTCCTAATAACTGTATCTCCAAGCGTGATACGTAGCATACATTTATTATCAAGAAAGAAACCTCCAGCTGGAGTGGCTGGAAGGTGGGATGCTAGATCTTACGCAGGATTTTTGTATTCACTTTTTTCTGGTGTGGTGGACACACTCCTTTTTGGTCTTAAATTTGAAGAGTGCCGTTTGAGTAAAAAGTAGATGCAGAAACAGAAAGCAATTAGAAGTGCACAATGCATTTCTTAATATGTAAGCAGTTGAATATCTAGTACCACCTCTGAGACTGAAGGATGTCTTAGCTTAGAAGTGAAAAAAAGGTAGACTAAGATTTGCAAATATTTATGTGATTTGCAGTAGAATTCTGACTCCCATTTTTTAATGGAAATACAGAATGGAGAGTGTATAGGATAGAGACCTGCTTCCACAGCAGTCTGTGGACACTGAGCATATTAAAAAAATATTGAAGTCCCTCACTTACATTCTTTTATGTTCTAGAATACTTTTGTAGAAGACCCCATGTATATGGCCATGATGATCTCTAAGTGTCTGCATGAAGAAAGGAAAATCCTTGAAGCTGCCCATTCTACAGATCAGGTAGGTTATGTTCCCTCTATGTGCTGGGAAAACAGCATCCTGCATAGAACATTGTGCAGCTTCAATGTAGATCATGGCCTTAAATTTCAGATCTTAACATGTCCACCTAAGTTAGCAATTTTTCAGAATGGAAGGCAAAGAATTAACCCAAGAAAGATTATAAAGTACTCTGCTGTAGAGGTTTTCTTTTTTAGCAGGGAAGCTGTACCTTGATAATGTTTCATTCTTGATTTTTTTCCCCATTTCAAATTCCAGATGCAAATGGACAGTGTACAGAATACTGCAGTGCTGGGCAAGGTGAAAGAGATGGATGCAAAAGTCAAAAACGTGAAGGACAGAGTCATAGTACGTTAAAAGAGCTGGCATTGGGAAGCTCCTTTTTATTTTTTGCTATTTCATAACCCAAAAGAGAAGTCACATTTATTGTCACATGCCATCAACTTGTTGAAGTAGTCACCATATTTTTTATCACCAGTTTGTTGTGGTATGCTCATAGAAGTAGGAAAGGGATACATATAACACAGCCTTCCCCAGCCTGGTGAACTCAGTTGGCACCAATTACAAGGTAGCATTTTCCAGAGGTCTTGAACTAAACCTATCCAAATCTTAGACAGTGTGGCCAGTGGTTGATACTTAGCACCAGGTTCTATTCCTGACTATTTCAGTGAATATTCTGGTTTAACAGGGACAATGGAGGCTTCGGTTCAAATCTCTGTCTCCGCTAAGCCAAGATTTACTGGTCAACCTTGGGTTGGTCATACTTTTTCGCTTAACCTACCTCAGAGTTTGCCATAAAGAAACAAAGGCTGAGATAACATTGTAATGAAATAAGTCATTGAAGCCATTACATTTACTTTTCATAAGTACCATTTTGCAGTAATTGACTTTGAATGTCTGATGAGGTGATTTGTTTTTCTAGGAAATAGAGCAAATCATTAAAAATCTGGAGGATATACAAGATGAATATGATTTCAAATATAAAACCTTTCAAGTCAGAGGTGAGGAGTCAGTTTCTAGCATTTTTAATGAAATGTATTGTATCCTATGTTAGATATTGTGCCCTGAGAATGAAGTCATAATCAGTTGGGGTTAAGTTAAAGTCTTAGTCTAAGTTAAAAATTTGGCACAGACTTTATTTCCATTTTGTGAAAATTCAGATCTTACAAATATCAGTTAGGCCTCGGCTCTTCAGTACCATATTCTTCAGCCAGATCCTCCTGTGAGGAAGATGACGTGTCTGTCTGGGAGTTCCAGATCATCAATATCTGAAGTGCTGCAAATTGCCTGTCCCCGGCCTAGATTCAGATATATTTCCCGCCTAATGCTTTGCTTTGTACACAGGCCTTGCCATTGTCTTGTTAGAAGTCATTTGACCAGAAAGCCAAGCATTAGAAGCTTTTTTCATACTCCTGATTAGCAAAGGCAGGGGGAGATTCCTAGTTTTCATAATACTTCTGCTTTTAGAGATAAATGAAATACGCAGGATAAGAATCAAATGTCCTCCTTTTATGCCTGAGAGGGCTTTAGTATCATTTACTGGATTATTTACTTTCTTTTTACAGTTCTGTATTCTTTAATATAAAGACTCTTGACAGAATTCTGGCATGATCTGTTTTGCAGAAGTTGAAACCAATGGCATGACCCAGGATGACTGTAAAAAGGAAAAAGTTCAGCTCCACACCATGTATTTGCAGCTTCATGCTAAGAGACAGGTGGTGCAACTGATTTCTTTGTGGAGAGCTGTGATTGTTCTTTTGTCTAATTTGTAGGCACTCTCTTGTTTTCCCCTCCCATTAAATGTTTTGAAGGAGTGGGGCTGATGGCGGTTGGGGTCCAAAGTGTTTGTGAGACAGGGTTGTGTAGTGGTTAGGGAATAGGACCAGGGAAACCTAAATTCTAATCTACCACGGGCTATGGAAGTTACTGGGTGCCTTTAAGTCAGCCGCTGCCTCTCAGTTCAACCCAAGCATTGCTGGGAGAGGATAAAGTTAGAGGATGGAGTACCATGAATGTCACCTTCAGCTCCTGGAGTGAAAAGAGAATATACATATAATGCATGAATAATTGATTTGGAGGCAGGTGTCCCAGTGTGATGGGGTTCTTTTTGAACTGGAGGTTACTTTGTTTTTGCAAGGGTGGCAATTGACACAGATAAACAAGCCAATGGAGGGTTGCTTTTTTTTTTTTTTTTTACTATTTACAGTGAGACTATTTACAACAGGTATTTACAACACAGTCCTGGTGTTCACCCAGTGTCAGGTTTCCTCCACGATTTCCCTCCCAGAGACTGTATCTCCCTCTAGCTCTCCTGGTAACTGCTTTGTTTTCCTCCCCCTTTCCCGCCAACTCCCTCCCCGCTTTCTGGGCTTAACAAGAGAGGAAATGAAAAGGAAGGAATGGGCTGGAATTTTCTTGTTGTGTGCTCAGCATGGCTTGACCTTCTCCTGCTCAGCAGAAGGCTACTGCTTCTCCACTGGGGAAAGAACCTCTCTCAGGGTTTTCTGCCCAGTCCTTCCCCACAGACAGCCAGGTCCCTCCTTCCCTTCTTGGGACATTTTTGGTCTCCCGTTCCCAAATTTCAGTTATAAACTGCTGAAAAACAGAAGTGGAACTTAACTGTGTTTTGTGACAAGAAAAAAATAATAGTTATTCATTTAGGCTTAACACAATGGCCTCCTGTCTCTGACTTCCTTCCTGCCCTGTTTGTTGATGTCATTGCATTATCCACTGCTGCTTTTGGACGCCATAGCTTAAAAAATTGAAAGGTTGCTTACGTTGTAGGCAGAACTTTTGTTCATCTTTATTTGTTAGATAAATATTCCACAATTCAGTCAAGAATTTAGGGAGATATATATGGTGCTTGTTCCTTGTGTTATTTTCCACATAACAACCCCATCAAATAGGTTGCACTGAGGTGCACAGGGTTGAATCTGTAACCTGCCTTTGGGATACATGTATTGCAACGCAAAGATGTTCCTTGGCTGAAAACTCCAACAACCCCACTGTGTTCTAGAAAATTCCCATTGTGTATCAAGTGAATGTTAGGGCTCCTCTTTTTTAATTGAAGCGACATACTGTATGAAATTTCAAATGGATCTTATCAGGATTGATGTAAAATGAAGAGTAATAGTTTGAATATGTTCAGTAGTGGATTCTTGTTCTCTCTAGGATGTTCTACACTTGATATCCTCTTCGTTGCATATGATTGAAGTTACCCAGAATGCTCTGATAAGAGAGGAGCTGGTTGAATGGAAGCACCGACAACAGATGGCTTGTATTGGTGGCCCACCCAATGCATGCCTAGATCAGCTTCAAAACTGGTAGGGCTCTGAAGCGTAGCAAGTGCAATCAGGAGTTTTCAGAATGAATTCAACCAGAAGGGGAAAATGTACCTGATAATTTTTTCATAAAACTTCTGAAAACTAATGCCTTCCAGAAATGCTGGAATTCTGCTATCTCCCTCTCCTTGTCATGTTTGAGTTTTCCATATTTTTAAAGTATGTGGGCTACATTCCTCTGTTGATAAAAGGCATAGTGTTGGCTGTGCCATTTGAGAATTATGGGACCTGGGTTCCAACACACCTCCTTGGACAAGGCCCAATGTTACCAGGTCTAATCCTTCTCAGCAAATGTTTCAACAGTTGTATTTCTACAATTGGGCAGAAGTTTCTTAAGTGCCCACATGCCTAAGAGGTGGACATTACTGCTGCTTGGGAAGGCTTGGGAAGTGCTATTGATTTAGGAGTGGAATCCAAGGTCAAAACGGTTGTATGTGTAGTCCAAAGCATACCAGGAATGCTCTGAGGCACTTGCCTCAAGAGCCTTGTAAAGTTATTGTTGCCTCTAAATAATTGAGACTGTTGGTTTTTATGTTTGTTACCCCAAGGAGAAATATAGCACTCCTCACATACAATAATTGTAATGACAGGTTTACTACAGTGGCTGAGAGTCTTCAGCAGATTCTTCAGCAGCTTAAAAAACTGGAGGAGCTGGAGCAGAAATTCACCTATGACACTGATCCCATTACTCAACAGAAGAAGGGGCTGTATGAACGGACATTGAGCCTCTTCAAGCAACTCATTCAAAGGTATTTTTTCTTGTGTTAAATGGGCCAGAATGGACATTTCCTCATTTAGAAAAGCGTATACAGCATAGTTCATCTTCCCATCCAACCTGAAAAATCTACCTCTTTTCTCTCATCTTGCTGATTAAATTATTTTGTTGATGTGTGGGTAGCCACAATATTCCCAGAAGGTGTATGCAGAACCTTCTAATGAAATAACTAACTTATTTAATTTTTGTTTGAAATCATATAGTTTTGTTCTGACTTAGAAAAGTCTTATAAGATTCAGTGATTTTATCTGATATCAGTTATGTACATGTATACACCACTTTTACTTTCCATTTTTGAAAATGGACAGCCCTTGCTATATGTCTTCTGCACATTAGGCGGAAGTAACTCGTAAGAGCAAATGTTGCTTTCCATTTCAAATAACAAATGTTACAAAGATTTCACTTGAAAGATGGATCAAATTTAACATAAATTGAAGGGGATCTCCTACTGTTAGTGATTTCCTTGCAAGATACAGACAGCCTGCAAAATTTCAGATGGCTAGAAGAAAAATGCTAAAGAATTGCATTGGACCAGGCTTCCCCAACCCAGATAAAAGTTAAAAGTTTGTGGGTGGGGAAGGTTGGTTTAGAGAGCTATGGAGCTGTACTAATTTGGGGGAGATGGGCGGCATAGAAATTTAATAATAAATAAAAAATAAATACAATTTGATTTTAAATGGTATTTTTATTTTTAATGACTTAGAGATTACTATTTAGAATTTTTGAGAGCGTCTATAGCATGCTAGATGTCTGGTCCAAATAAGTAATTTGAAAAGAAAACCTTTTGCCTCTTATTTTTTTAAAATGGGCATGTTGTGTTATGAATGATTGGGGATTTGTTCATTTTTGGCATAACTTCCTACTCCCCTTTTGAAACAATTCAACTGTCCATTTTTTTCTGCTCCAGCTCCTTTGTTGTAGAAAGGCAGCCTTGCATGCCTACGCATCCTCAGAGACCATTGGTTTTGAAGACTGGAGTACAATTTACAGTAAAGTTGAGGTAATTTGTTTTATACCTGGTATGGTTAGTGTCTGTTGGTTTTTTAAGATCTTTAAAGGAGGTGATTGTTATAATTCCAAAGTAAAAGGAAAGAATCCCTCAAGCCAAGCTTGATCCATACACTTTCCTTGGAATGATTACAGAAGTGGTTTGCCATTGCTTTCTTTCAGAATATTTTTATGATTTCCTAGTTTAGCCAATTAGGAAGAAAAATATGCCATATTTTAACAACATACTGAAGAAAAAGTTTCTCAGCAAAATATACTTTTAAATGTAATTGCCAGTATTTTAGAACATAAGTTAATATCCTTAAATTACCTGTACTTAGATGTAGATTTTGCTGCAGACCTGATTCTGCATTCTGCTATTTTCTCTACTGATGATACCACAGTACCCAAGATCTGGTTCTTGGGCCCATTTCATGATTGGGTCCACACATCAAGCAGAAATAAGCAATAGTTCTTGGCTTGGAAACCACAAGGGCTGGATTTTACAAAAGACATGAAACCCAAACCAAACATACTGTGGCTTAGTATGTTTGTGAATGTGTATGTTCATATGTGAACCCCATCCATGTCATAAGATACAATTCTGTAAATATTTAAATGGGAAGAAGGGTTACTTTCTTCTATATGTTTTTAGTAGGTACGTGTAAGATTGCATTGAATGAACTTGCAAAGTCCCTACCCATGCTACCTCAAACTAGGATTGGCTCCTTGTAATTGATCTTATGAGTGGAACCCTTTGAGAATGTTAAGTTGGTGCGTACATTATCGCTTTTCAATCCAGTGGTGTCTCCTCTGATGACAAATGCTTCTTTTAATCTTGCAGGAATTTGAGCAGAAGGGGAGGGGCAATCTTTCTGCAGCCCTTCCCATAATCATCACCCCTTGTTAGCCAAAGAACAAAGGAATTTGATCATTTCACCTCCTCCCATTTCTGCTTACCATGGTCTTCCAAGGATCAAAGAACCTTATGTTACAAAGATATAAATTAGACCTTATGCTGATATATAAGGAAAATGCTTTTCTTCAAGGGCTTAAGGAATGTAAAGATTATTAAGACAAAAAAGGAATATTTTTTCTTTATGCATACCTTTGTGTGACTTGTATTTCCAGATTGCTGGTGAAACTACAAGAGCTGAATTACAAATTGAAAGTGCAAGTTCAGTTTGATAAGTAAGTGATACGTTACCACCATTCAGATAAAAGATCACTGATCTTGAGTTCCACACCACTTTAGATCACTTTTACTTTGCCCCTTTCTACTCTCCATTGCAAATCTGTCTGGCAGTTAGAGCGGTCTCATAATTTCCATTTCTTACATTTGTGCAGTTTTTATTTTGTTATCCTGTCTGAACTTTTAATTACCTGCTTTCATTGGTTGCTCATCAAGGGAAACACAAGAGAATCTTGAGAGAATTTTTTATTGCTTTTTAATTAATAACAAAGGAAAAAACACAAAATAATAATACATAAGAAGAGGAAAGAAAACTTTAAAAGGTGGTATTACAAAAAAGTGACAAAAATACAGGAATAAAAAAAACTGTAGTATACCATTATACAGTAAATTGTTACACATCTATATATATTTATCTGATGCAAATATTATTCAAATGCATATCCAATACATTTATATAACTCATTTTTTTTAACCTACTGTATTTTGTATGAATGAGCC